AGGTTTGAAACAATTTAGTTCTAGTGTCACTGGCTTTTACCAAATTCCTTTAGAGAAAAAAATAAGTTTTATTTTTACTTTATTCAGAGAGATTTTAATCTTACACAGATTCTATTTTGTTATTCTAGCTGTATATTATATTTCTTTATGTTGCATTTTTTCTAGAAAAGTTTCCTAGTTTCTAGAAAATAAAGTTTAATGTTGCTTTGTGCTATTTGTAATTTTAGAATAACTGTATGGAATGATGTAATAGTACAGGGGAAATCAAATTTATTTTTTGTAGTCTGAAAATTAGAGGAAAGTGAGCCAGAAGAAATCGAAGCATTTTCTGAAAAGGCCTAAAAGGAGATAAACAAGGGCTTCCATTGGTGAAATAACTTTATCAAAAATAACACAACTATTTGTCATTTCTTTTTGGAAAAGTAAATGATACTCATGTAAATAAAACTTTTTCTTTAACTCTTTTGACAAAGTTTGACTTGGTAGGATGTTTTGAACTTTAAAAGCTCTTGAGGCCATGAATGTTAGCCAGTTCAAAAATAGAAAAAATTCTTGACTGCGATAAAACTGTGTGTGGTATTCCTATAACTACATAGCTCTGAGCTTTTCAGAAGTCTATATAAGGCTCTCAGGCAGGCAATGGCCATGTGATTTCAGTGGCCACTTTAATAGAAGAGGGTTGCTGCCCCCTGAAATATGGGAAACTAATCAGACCAGTGCAGAAGTGTTATGATACAAGCACTCATATATTATTATAAACAAATAGAATGTGAGTTTGTTTTTATTTTCAGACATTTTTAGAATGACTGACATTACCCTAAATAGGAGAATTAAATATGGTACAGCATTCGAGAATGGATTATTTTTGTTTAAGCTCCTTTCATTTAACACAATATTAGGATAGTACTATATATGGTTTAGGAACTGTCAGAGGTAAAACTTTGGGGGAGGAGAGGGGTATTGCTACTCACATTCAGAGTTTTGTTTTTAAGAAAATATTTTCCTTTAATGATACAGAGTTAAAGCTGCTTGTTTCCATTTTCTGTAGTAAGCAAAAGGGAAAACTTACTAAAGGGAAAAGTCTTTATGTTACTGCTACTCTTCCTGCCTGTCCTATAATCACAGAATTTGTTGGCAGAGTCCTCTCTTCAGCTGGGAACTGTGTTCCTTTGTTAATACTATTTTCATGAATAAAAGATTTTATTTTGTCATCTGATTTTTTTAAAAATTGGTGTTTGAGACTTCGAAGAAAGCAAATATTTCAAAAACCATATTTAGCATTTTTCTAAGTTTATTTTTAATGTGATGGACTATTAGATACGTAGCTAAAATATTTCATACATGTATAAGAATGCCTATTATGATTTTTTTTTAATACCTCATTTTCAGATGCTTTGCATGCATACTTTGGGATCTGTGGCCTGTCACTAATGGAGGAAAGTGGAATTTGTAAAGTTCATCCTGCTCTGAATGTAAGCACACGGACTTCTGAACGCCTTCTAAATCTCCATCAAAGCTGGAAAACCAAGGACTCTAAACAGTGCTCAGAGAATGTACATGTCTCCACATGACTGACTTTAGACTGGGAGGGTGGGGGGATTTGTAGCATAACTGTAGCTCCAGGTTAAAAGCCATGTATAACCACCTTGTGCTCTTTTTTTAAGAGGTAGAGTCTTACAATCAAATCTTGTACTGATGTCACTTTGGGATATATTCTTGAGCCAGTAACTTTTGTACTGGGTTTCAAGAAAATCTTTGTTGAAGTTTGAACCACGACTCTGTAATGGTTCTTAAATGTTTATACTGTATTTCTAAGAAGTTCTTTGAGGCAAACTAACTGTATGTATGTAGGTTATCTTTTTAAAAACTCTTCAGTACAAATTGTATCTTCTTATAAAATGGACACAAATCTTAAAAACAAGTTTACACTTCATATAGCATTGATAATCTTCAGGTGAACACTTAGTGATCATTTAAAAAGCTTGACAGCCGATGGTAGAAAATTTGCTTTAATGAATTAAGTATCTAGGATTATTCTTTGGAAACAGATGATCCCATAATTTTTTTTTAAAGAAAAAATTATTTTGTCTTATTTTAAGTAAAATGTGCCAATTAAACTTGTGTGGCCTATATAATGAAATTATTAACTTCATAATAGGAATAAATAGGCTTAACTAATATGATAGTTTTCTAAAGGGAGATTGTTTTAAGAGGACTATTATGAGGGAAAGGTAATTTAACTGTATGTGATTGTGAATGAGCAAATTTTATGCTGTGTGGGTCATTTATTTAGACATTGCTGTGTTGAATACCAGTTATGTTTGATTTTAATTTGAAATCATTAGTTGCCCTTTATTTTCTTTTTCTCTTTTGCTTTCTAAGAAGAAAACAATCTTATCTAGAAGGAAAGATATTTAGTGTTTTTATTTTTCTGAGATACATGATATTGTAAATTACACTTGTACTTTCATAACTGAGTTATTTTTAGCCATTTGGATTTTTTCTTTATTTTGTTGCCCTCGATGCGATAGCTGCTCTAATTTCAAAT